AATAAAAGGAAAAAAGACAAACAAAAAACCCCAACCAAAACACACACTCACAAAAACCTGAAGGAACACAGACATGAGAATCAAGCTGTCTAGAAATTCAGAAGGCCGTTTTATGGCCTTAATGTGAAAGCAATAGTTCTAAGGAAAGAGAAATACAAGCAGCCTTACTGGACTCTAACCCCTCACCATGAAGTGGTCTCCTGAAGAACATCCACCTGTTAAGCTAAAGAAAGAAGACACATAATGAATGCTATTTACCAAACTGCCAAGTGGAATTTAAGATTTTGTGGCCTTCAGCAGCATCTATCTAATTAACAAATGGAAGATAAATGAAGATTACTTTTCAGCCTGTTTTCTTATGGCAAGAAACTTTCATGTAGAAATAAAAAGGTCTGTTCCCTGAAAAAGGTGACTACAGGCGGATCTTCTCAAAAACACTGAATGCTGACAGCAAGAATGATCCTGACATGACAGTACCAAACTCCTCCACAGTTACTGAGTAGCTCTGCAGACAGGATCACTGCTTCCATTAAGAGTTCCGATGTCTGAACACAGCATCTTCTCCAAAACAGTTGGCAGGTACTGCTTCCAACAAAATCTTGAAATCAGTAGACTTCAGTGCTGGTAGACCACCACAGAGAGTATTTAAGAAGTAGAAACTAGCTGTGGGATCATGCTCGACCTGGCACTAAGCAAAGCTATCTGGAATAACTATCCTTCTTGTAGTGAACCCAACAATTGTTCGGCCTGCTACTGAGGACAAGGTAAGGCAGTCAACATCTCTTTTCACAGATCCTTCTTCCTGGTCCAGGTACCTCACCTGAAAGAGTGAGGTCTACCAAAAGTCACTGTGAAGCAGACAGAATTGCTACCGGTCAATGCCAGGATAAACTGGTCTTCCAGAGCTCCTTACCACTCTTTTTTTCCCTAGGGGGTCATCCTAAGAAAAAAAAAAGTGAAAAACTGAGCATTCATTGAGGACATGCACCTCTCCAAGCAGAATATCTAGCATGTCTAGTAGCGATCAACAGCTGCAGTGACAAAATTCCTGGTCCCTACCATTCTATGACTTCAGCTCCGAAGTATTGTATTTTAGTAATACAGAGGTATTGAATAACAGAAAAACAGTAATATACTTTAATGCAGGATCAATAATGATACTGTATCACACCATACTAAAAGATAACATAGGCAAAGCTGTCACAAAAGTACAGGCACTACTAGTATTTTATTTTAGGTTACAGGAAATTAGAAAGTTTGAAAACAAATGTAGAACAGCCACACCCCACACACCCTTACATTCAGCTACCACAGCCTGAAAGTTAATGAGAGGTATAAGAGCAACAAAAACAAATCAAACTATTTTGAACAGTATCCCAGTGCACGGACACATCTGTACCAGAAGACATCAGGTTCATATTAACTTTTATTTTTATATATGTACAACTTAAGAAACGAATCTCAATTTTAAAAAGTTCAGAAGTTATCTTCCAACAACACAATGTAGACATACCTTTGAGGCAGCAAATATTACCCCTGTTAAGGCTGTTATGAAAGGATTGATATCATGCAAATGCAATTATAGAGTACATTACACTTCAAAATATGCAAACAGAGTTCAACTTCAACTTTTTCAGAAAAAGAACATGTCAAATGTTGTAACTGTGACCCACCAAAGCATTTACATACATGCTTAAAGCTAAGTACACAGACCAGATAAACTTATGCTAAACATAACAACTGTCAAGCTATCTTCGCCAGATCAGAACTGCAGTCAGTAATCAATCCCTTCGAGCACCACCAGTGGCAACGTCTGCACCAACCATGTCTCCTTGCATTCACATAAACCGCTGCCGACTGCAAAAATCCATTTCAGTCGCTAAGGCCCACATTTTTCAGCTTTGGCATTAATTTGTGATCACTGAAGAGTACTTAATCTCTCCAGTGAACCTGGGGAAGAGGCATGCATGGAGAGCACCTGTACCATAGAGCAGTGCACAGCAGGAACTGCCGGTGCTGCAGGAGCTGCGTAACAGAAGTCACTTCCATCAGGCATTTCGAAAGATTCTGATTAATTTCCATATACTGTATTTCTCCCTTATGATCTCAAAGAGTGAAAGCTGGGGCTTTTTAAACCACAACCAGCATTAGCACTGAATCAAACAAGCATTGCTAATCTACAAGAAAAAATTGGTACTGAGTATTTTAGCATAGTAATGCCACTTCTCTAAAGATGGTCTAGTATTATCAGCAGGCAGAAAGCTTCATTCCTCCTCTATGTCATTATAAAAAATTGAAATTAAATATAATTAAGATGGTCAGCTGTGTGACTTATTTATTGTCATCACTAACATAACTCAAAAATAAAAGAACTGACAATTTGAAAGCAATGAATATGTGAAAAGAAAAAGAACACAACTGTTGTGACCCCTCCCAGGATGTTACATGCACTGCCTGACATGTACAAGGTGCTAGATGACTACTTTTTCTTCAACCCTAACACAACCAAATTTCAGTTGTCTACTTAAAAGGAAACAACAAATTATTTTCAAGATTTTCTGTCATGTCATTTTTTGACAACTCAAATTTCAAATTGCTTAAAGGCCCAGACTTTTCACAAGTTTTGTATCACGTTACATTCAGTTCTTACAAATTTCTTACAAACAGTATTCCTTGCCTAAGAAAATAGTAGTTAAAAGCAGGAAGATTCTTCTATTTCAGTCCATCTAATTTTGAGTCACAGCAGCATATCATTTAGATACTGCTAGGCACATACTGTGTGTCTGTCTGCAACTAGAAGAATGAAAGGAAAAGAAAGATCCATTTTACTTTAATCCTGACCAGCAGCTGTTAGCAATTTTCTTTAGTTATCACTGTGGGACATGATGGATGGGAAGACTCAATATGCTGAGGAACTAGTACACAGTGTAGAAGTGCTCTCAAGAACTGTTGTTCAACTGCACATTCAGTTTAACTAGGAACTACAGACTGTAAGAGGTAACAGATAGTTCCTGGGAGCATCTATCATTCTTCAGAGAAGCTGTCAGATCAAGAGGATAATATTTGGAAGAACAAGTGCATCATCTTTTGCTATACAGCTGGTAGATCATGTCATCGACGGAGGAGAAAAGTGAACATTAACTTAAGCGGTAACTGAAACCAAGACATCTGCATAAAAGAACAAGTTGAGATAGTACCATTTGAAGACTTTCCATATACTTTGCAACACAGAGAAACTGGATACACAAAAACATGCAAGTCAAACAAAGCTAATCTACAGTAAACAAAACCAGAATACACTTATTTCAAGGCTTAAAACATTAAAATATTCACCCAATGCTAAATAGGAGTAATGGAATAAGGTCTAGACCTAGCTGTGTAATTCAGTAAAAATTTGATCGGCTCTTTCAGCCTTTATTTCCCTCCTCTTTTTACTTGGTTTTATAATTTCAGGCCATAAACTTTGAGTGACACAGGAGCCGAAAAGCAAATGTAAATAAGGCATCTTCCTCTCTCTATTAATAGCAATGCTCTAGGGATTTGTGATTATATATGTATGTAGCTGCACTGCCTTTTTCCAGCCCATAATTACACGGGATGTCCTTCACCCAAGGATAGCAGGATGTTACCTACTCCAATAACAAAAATATTATTTGAAAAGACATCCTCCTTTTCTGAGTAGACCTATCCCATCTGGGTTGCACACTCATTTAAAAGCATGCATTGACACCCATCACTTACCTGTCTGAAAGTTGTGCCTCATCATTATCAGATGCAGCTCTCAACTCAGACAGATCTCAACAGATGAATGTCCTTTCTTACACCACAAGTCTTGCAAATAAAAGCCCAGTGAAATAATTTATAACTTGGTCCCCAAACAAAAGATACATTCCAAAATACAAAATCAAATTACTGATCTTTCAAAACACTCAACCAAGTCACCACGAGCATTTTGTCCCAAACCTTAAACATAGACTGTCAAGAAAGGCTGGAAATTACTAATCAAGCTTACAGAGATAAATCCCAGAAAACTTCAAAGACATTCCAATATACTTTAAATGACACAAAAGAATATGGGCATAACTCTGTCCTAAGACTCCAGAACTCTTTATAAAGTCCTGACTTTTACAAATACAGAAGAAGATAGCCAATGCAAAGCATGAAATACAAAGAGTTTAAAGATGTTTTTTCATCTCAAAACACCTCAAACCACAGAAGGAAGCAAACTGCACTAGAAGAAATTTACAAGTAGTCTTCAAGGGGAAGTACCATGTAAAGCACACTGCACAAATCTAGACTTGACATTATGAGGGCATGTCTCACTGTAGCAAGGTCCATACTGAACACGAGATCAGAGACAGAAGATTAAAGTAAAACATTAGATGTCACAGTCACTGTTCTACTGATCTGGGAAAGGCAGAGACTCCGAGGTGAGCAGAAACTATGAACATGCTTAATAAAGGCCATTCTTGCCAAGTCAAAAAATCATACATCCAACACTTTCATCCCTTCATTAAAATAGAAATACCAAAAAGGAGCACTCCATAACATATCCCCATTGCTTCTGACTGACACGTTGAATCAAAGGTAAAAGCAGAAAGTTAGCAGAGATTAGAGCAGCAAAGATCTCTTAGCACAAGGCAGCACAGCTGAGCAGCCTACCAACCAGAAAATTAATTATTTTGTTTGTTACTTAAAAAAGAAGCTGTTAGTTGACTCTTCAGTTTATTAGGCATAAAAAAGTTTTCACCCGGAGGTCATTCTGAAAAACACCTCACCCTGTGCTTAAGCCTGTATTAAGCCCAGCAAAAAACAGTGATAAAGAAACAAATAAACGTCTAAGTATTTGCTGGCTTTCCTTCCAAACATTTCAGAGAAAAATGTCAGTTTAATGCTGACAGCAAACAAGGATGTCAGTCTAATTAGATTTTTTTGTTTGTTTTGTCATGCTCCTGATCCTATCTAAGTACTCCTCTGAAAAAAACAAAGCTCTGATTGATGATGAAGGCACAATTATACAAACCTTAACATTCACTCTAAACGCAACTATTCCAAAAATGGAGAGAGGGTAGGGAAAAAAAAGGTGGAGTATATTTCTCTTCAAATAATTAAGTCAGTTTATTTTCCAAATTTAAAATATGAAACAACAATAATACAGCTATAGAATCTAGGTTTTCTTTCAAAGCAGCAGCATATAAAACATATAAAAGCTAAAACCTCAGCACAAGCTTCAAAAAAACAAAGACTGAGTGAATTTTGCCAAAGACATGAAACTCACAAAATACAGTACACACAAATACTGGAATGCATAAGATAAAGCTACACGTTTTAGGTAGAGAAAGACATTGTAAAGTATACAAAATTTGCAAAAGTAAACCATGGGATCTGGGGGAGAGTACCATGAATACAAAGAAGTTGGTAATTAATACTTGTAGATGAAGAGAAGAAAGTGGCAGGTTTACGTTTAGCATTCAGTTTTCCGGTTCATGACTTCACTTTCTTAGCATCTTTTTTTCCAGAGTTCTCGGATGCCAAATCTGCTTTTCTTTTCTGTGACTAGAAAGGGAAAAAAATATTTTATAAATTCTACAAAATGGTGGCATTATTAAAAAAAAAAAAATTAAGTACAAAACTTACTACTCAGAAAGAAGATAAGTGACCCTAATGTATTATACGCTTCAGTGCGGCTTTGTAGGATGTAAAGGAAGGGCAAACAAAATTCCCAGCTTTCAACACTTAATTCTGCTACCCTTTTTATCTTCTTGAAATCATTACATGGTCTCAGTGGTACAGGTACCACACATACCATGAATTGGATGAAAAGATCAGGACCTTGACTTATACACAATTCTGTTCTAAAGATGACAACTCTTCAAAATAAGAGAAGCACTTCTTATAATTTCTTCTTCTAGGAACTACTCTGTAGGGGAGGAATAACAATCTGAGATTAAACTGAAGCAAACACATAATGTAAACATGTAGGTAGAAAGAGGGCAGCACTACATTTTCTTAAAGTCTTCTTCTGCTACTTAAATGATTAAGACTCCTCTCTAAAACAAAAAGCCCCAAAAACCTATGAACTGGGAATACCTACGTGAAATCTAGGAAAGCTATGAATAGACAAATACTTCAGTTTAACCTCTCAACTAATGGTTTATACTAAAACATTCAGTGGCTGCAATTATCTTTTTCATTGTCTAACAAAATATAATTGAGTTCTGCCCCACTAGAAGTAAAGTAAGTACTGCTAAACATACTGCTGTAACTTTTGCTCCTCTTTTCTTCTTTTCAGCTCTTTCTTTTTCCTCAATTTCCATATTTTCTTTTTCTATTAATGATATGAGAGTATTGCAGCGTCTCTGGAACTCCTAAGGAAAAAGAAAACATTAAACTCTCTAAATAAATTACATGAACTCTCTCATTTACATGAAAATGTTCAAAACTCTTGAGTTCTAAAATACTTCAGTTTTCCAAAAACATTCAATATTTATGTATTAATAAGATTAGCTTAGTTATTGTTTATCTGTCTTTACCTTAGTGCAACCTTCTTTATAACTAGAGAGATATTTACTGAAATATTCAAACTTCTTGACAATGAGTTTTCAGGATTGTCTGTATCTTCCAAAGTGACACCCCAAAAGACTGATCTCATCTTTCATCTTGTTTCGATAAAGCAAGTTACACCCTGCCAGCATACTATGCCAGATTTTAGGAAAAGAGGTCTTCAAGTATATCTTTAAAGCAGAGAGAAAAGCAATCAAAGCTATGAAGTAATGCTTCGCTGTGGCACACAGACTAGTTTTTTGTGATAAGACACTGTAAAGCTCCAAACTGGCAAAAATCTATCCAGTCTTAGATCATGAACTCACTGTTGTATTTTTTATTCAAACAGCACCCAAAATGTAGCAGGCCCTAAATGCTTTTAGATCAAGGCCTCCAAGCAATCTGAAAGTGATCAAGATTAAATGCCGTAAGGTCATATATAAACCAAAAAATATTTCCAATACAACTCTAAAAGTATCTGCATTGCAGTTAGTAACCGTTGGCTTTGTTAATGGAACTCATTTGACCTGGACATTTTCTTGTATCCCATCCCAAAAATCTCTTACCAAATACTGAATAATTATAATAAAACAGAGTATACACTATTATATATGTTCTATGTACATTGAAAAGAGTGACTCCATGTGCTTTTCTTCCCAACTCCAAGCAGGAAGCTTTCTTCTGAGAAAAAAAGCCAGAAAAATGTGTCTTATCTCTATTAAATTCAATGAAGCAATTTCTGAACCACAAGCTATCCTCAAATTACCTAGTAGCATAAATCTTAATCTACAACTGGTCTATTTGCAATGAAGTGAACAGGTGACCTTTCGCCCTGGAATTAGTCTCTATTTTCTCAGCATCTGTAACCTGTACATTGCCTCAGCCAGCACATTACGTGATGGAAAACGATCCAGCCTGCACACTTTCTTGATCCTGAACATTCTGAAACAGCCAAGCATATGACTCTTCTCCGAGACGTTAATACCCTCAAGCTTAGCCACATTCCTCAAGTTCTACAGTTTCCACAGCTTCCTCTACCAAAGGGGTTCCATGGCCTTGGGTGAAAGCTGTCTAATTCAGAATGGACGCAGACAATTCTGCCACTGCATGAATTTAAAAAAAAAAAAAAAAAAAAAAAAAAAAAATTACCCCAGGACATTTTTTTTT